ATGTAACAAAGTGGATAAAATCACGAGTTTTCTTTATGTGTCCTAAATATAAAGATGTTTTTTATTTTTATTTTTTTTTTTACTTTTTGTTTTTGAAGGATATGCATCTCATAGGCACTTTAAACTTTGGCAAAATCTTTCAGAGTTAGCCTGTTTGTTAGCAAAAAAATCTCATGAGCCACTGGACATAGTTTATTGAAATTTTCAGAATGTAATTGTTAGACATGCATCTACAATCGAATATCATTTGGAGCCAATCCARTTCAGGATGGGAGCCACAGCTGATCAACATTAGCCAACAGGAAAATGTTTCTCACTTGATCAGTTTTACATATATTGAGCTAAAACTTGATGAGGTAGAAGCTGGGGGTGATTTATACCACGTACTTTGAGCACCAGKTCGTGCATGATGCAAGGTTTGACCAAAACAGTTGCAATAGGGGCATCCAACCTTGGTCCTGCATGTTTTTTTCTTTTTTCCCTGTTCCAACACAATTGATTCAGTGGCTGACTTACCTCTTCAAGTTCTGCAGAAGCCTGTTAATCACACGTTCATTCAAGTCAAGTGTGTAAAGACAAGGTTTGGACACCCCTACAGTTTCTTCATTTCTCAACATAAGACAATCCTTTAGCTGGCAGGGCAGGAATATTCGGCCTTTGATTGTGTTTGTTCAGTTTTTTCATGTTTCAGTCTCCATCAATTCCCTCTGACATTAATCCGCGTCACTCTCCTTCTCTCAGCCTTTACATCCTCAATCCCCTGTCATAGCAGAAGCCTTTGTTGTATCACAAATGGGATTTTTTTTTGTTTTTCCACTGCCCAGGTCACGTATTCATTGTGTAAGAGATGGAGGAGGAGGGATGAAGGGACACAACAACCTCAGCTGTGATGCGGTGATGAAAGGCTTTTTGTTCAGCTGGAAAACCCATCACCTCTGTGTTGTCCCGCATGCATAATCCCATCCTCCGAGCATGGCTGCGTGTACGAACACAGGTGGACGTGTCATCGCCGGCCTCTATTTTTAGACAAGCGTTCACACAGGCATGTAAATAAATTACTCTGCTTTTTGGGTTTCCAGGAGAGCTGTTTTTTTTGGCTTTGTAGTGTTTGTCTAAACAAAACTAATTCCACTAAAAGCAATCAGTTTTCTATAAATAAAACCTATTAATTCGGCTGCACCTTCCTTCTGGTCCAGTACAAAAAAAGGTGTTACAGCAGCTTTGAAATAATGAAGCATTTCACTTTTCCTTTTTTTTTTGTGTCCCCATTCCACCCTTTAACTCTCTCTCCCGTCACTCATCCGTTAACCTGCATTAAATATTCTTGTTTCGAACCGAAACCCCGGCCGTGCTGACAATGTATAGCTTCTCTCCAGTTCCTAATGAGGTTTCCATCGATCACTTTGACTCCATCTTTCACCCGCCTCCCTGTCCTCTCTCAGCCCCTTCTCCTCATCCATTATCGATGAGAGGCCGGCGACAAATTCCTGACAGTGAAACAGAAAAGAGATCAGTTACAGAAATGACAGAACTCTTGAAATAGCATCTGTATTTCAGGAGCACTGTCGTCTCAAAGGGGAAGGATTGGTGAACTTATTAAGGAACAAGGATAAACTGCAAAGTCTAATTTATTTGGAGGAAATGACAAAAATCGTCTGGGTTTTTTTTTAACTTTGTCACGTCAAGACAAGATGAATGAGTCGATCAGTAAACAGGTGAAGGTTTGTGTTTCCTCCCATTAATCAGCCTGTTTTAATATCTAATTATCTCTGTCTATTATTAATGTAYGGGCAGATGACACAGGGTAATTAAGCAGCAGATAAGTTTTATTTGCGTCAGTCTGGTTCTCATTACTTATTTCATTGTAACTGTAGTCACTTTACTGAATTTCTCAGCTGGCACAAAGGGACTCATTAACCCAGCTTAAGTAGACAATGACTTTGGGTATCTGTGACAAGTAAACACCAAACTTAGACACAGCTAATCAAATAATTATCTTAAGCAAAAGGGTGTTTACAGGCCTAAAAGCTGTTTAAAAATCTAATGTTGGGGTGTTTTTTTTTGTTGTTGTTGTTGTTTGAATTATGTTAAAAGTGATGTGTGTTTAACTATGAGTGAGGCCTGAAGGAAGGAATCAACTGAAAGTCGTGAGGCCTGTACACAGCCAGCAGGTGGCCCCCAAGAGTCTGCTCATGTAGCTATAGATTTATGGCTCTTTGAAGGGATGTTGTGGATTTGTTTATTTTAAAGAGTTGTTTGATTTTTCATTGTTGATAATAAGGTATGGTAGTACTTTGATGCAATTTGGTTAAATAAATTCAACTTTTCCTTTTTTTAAAGTGCACAAACCAATTCTTTCATGATGAGTTATGGTCATGTTACATTTTAAAGTGAACAAGTAAAAGTGTCATTTTATTTTATTTAATTTAACTAAATAGAAGTAAAAGTTAGGATTTAAAAACATACACTAAAAATATTTGTTGCAATTTGGTTAAATAAATTCAACTTTTCCTTT